TTCTCAGTAAAGTTTTCTAGATGCCTGAAGTTCCTCTTCTGAGTACATCAGAAGAGGTGCCATCTGTGGCAAAGCTGATCTTCACCCACCTATTTTACACAGAAGCTATTTTAAAACTTTCAGGCTCCCTGTCTGCTTGCCCGGGGGACCTGCTGCCTTGGTAGAGCCAAGTGCCTCAAGCCTGAGCCCATTTGCAGTTCTTAACATCAGTGTGCTGATGGCAAAGCCCCAGGCAGGCATGCTTAACCCTTACTAATTATGCACTGACAGCACTGAGTTCAGCATAAGGCACAAATTGCCATTCTGATGAAGAAATACAGCAGTCAGCTTAGAGGTGAAGAGTACAGGTTGTACAACTGCTTTGAGTTCAGCTCATTTGCCAAGGGCATGAAGGACACAGTTTGAATCCCCCAGTCTCTCCAAGAGTAGCACTTAGAAGTCTGGATAAGGCTCTGCCTCTCCATTCTGCTGAAGATGGGCAGAAAGAGTTCAGGACTCACGGAGGCAGTCCAAGTGGGTGCTCACTTCTGTAGGTGTTCAGTGGAACCTTGCCAAGGTGTGGTTTTCCACCACTAAATGCAGATCCACGTATAAATTCTGCGTTGGAGAGAGATCTGATAAATGCACAAACCCTGTTTGAAGCAGAGTGCTGTAGCTCTTCAGTGGAAGCCAGTGCACTGCTGCAGTTCTGGTTTTATGCTGTCTGGCTTTCTAGTTGAATATGTATCTCTCTAGCAGGGAGAGGTGTAGATCATCACAGTCTAAAAGAGTGAGCTAGTCATCAGAGATACCACTTGAAAGCCGAGATCTTGAAAGTACATTTCAGCCAATACCTAAATAGGTGTGTAAGTCAAGGAAAAAAGTTAGGCATTCCTCTCCTTAGCATGACTACACCACTTAGTCCCTCTACATGTACGTGTGAGCGTTGTGTGTGGGCACTGCACTAAATCCATGCTGACAAATCCTACTGGAGGAGAGATAGATATGAAAAAGTAAAGCTGCTCCCATTTAAGCCTTCCAGAAGGAACAGATTTTACACTAATGAAAAATTTAGCACCCTTAGCATGGAAGTCTAGATAGGCATAATGATTTTTCCCCATCACATGTCCTCTGAGTTTGTCATTACTGTGGTTTATAGTTTATTCATATCTTCACACAATATGGAAAGTGATTGTTAATTTATGCAGAAGATACCTGCACCTCTGAGACTTGCTCAAACTACAGTCAGCTGCATCCCATAGCACTAGAACAGTGTTTTTGGGATGAGAGATAGACTTTGCTGGAACTGGTGTTTTAGGGCTGTTAGGATCTTGGGGTAGCAAAGGCTCTGCATATGCAGACAGATCAGAAGTGACTCATTAATAAGATCCTACTTCTGCTGCCTGCCCAGAAGCAGCAGCTTCATAAGAGTGGGATGGTAAGGTTGCTTTTTAGTAATTGTCTGAATTTAATTTTTACCCTCTTGTTTATAAGTCTTGTCAAAAGATTGATTTAAAAAAAAGAAAATATAGTGCATTTAGAGGGTCTCTGTCTACTGTAGGCTAATATTGGGCACATATGGCAATCTGTGCTAATTTAAACAGCATTTCAAATATGATTGAAATAATCAGCAAACAAAAATAGCCTTGAAGGTTGTTTTGAATTAAAATTTTTTAAAAGGTAAAATTTTGAGGCTCAAAAGTCCAACAGTATCCTGGCTCCAGCAGATGGAAGAATTACAGGTCTAGAGAAGAGTAAGAATATGGCAAAAGTATTGACTCTTTTTCTGAGATTTTACTCTCTCCACTTCTAGTTATTTTCAGCTCTATGAGTTTGCTAACTAACTGCCAGTGGTTTTCTTTGTTTTGTCCAGTTCCTACTTGAACTTGGATGAGCTTTTACATCCTGTAATGTCATTTGCCAAAGAGTTCAACAGTGTAAAAAAAAAAAAAAAAGATTTTTTTAATTACTCTGAAAGTGAACCAACTAGATTCATTTTTGATGCTTCATAATTCTTTTTTTTTAACAAGAGAATGCATTTAATCAATCTGTGTGCTCTAATGATGATGCTGTCTGTTCTATACCCTCTAAGCTGCCTGTTTTCTCAGTTGGGAATTCCTAGTTCAGCTGAGTCATTTCCTGCACAGACACCATATTATACTCTCTCTGGTATACTTAAACTTTTAAATATATGTTCTGTGTGTTTACCTTTTATATTCTTTTAGTGATTTTTTACTTTACTGCTAGTTATAATTTAAAATTAATTTTAAATAAGTGTAGTACATTTAAATCAATTTAATAAAAATATTATAGTTGAAGCATCAGTACTCAGTATATATGAGGTACCTTAAGGTTTTTAAATCTATAGTTATTCATTGACAATCTGCATAGGTGTTGGTAAGGAATTTTCAGTGTGTATATTTGTTTTTATTTAAATTATAATGACTCTAATGGTAAATAGTTCATCTAGCTTTCTCAGCTGCCTGTTCTTATACAGATTTCTCATTAAACCTTGATGTCCCTGTCTTCTTCCCACACCTGTCAGACTCTTAGATTGACTGGAGAGCTGCCTTAGCTGTGTGAAATCATTCACACAACGTGGCTGCCATCTTGTGTCTCCATCCAGTTCCTTGGAGACAATTAGATTTAAAAGGTTTCCTCTTTCTGACCAGGCCTTCAGACACCTGAAGTCAGAAAATGGGAAACAGTTGAAACCTACTTGACTATTTGAGCCTAAAGATGAGCTTGGATAAAACAAAGAGCCTTTTGTGTGTTCTTTTGTTATGTGTAATGATACAATGATCTCATTTATGCATGAGTACAGACAGGTTGCATGCAGGCATGCTCATCCCCATTCTATAGCTCAGATGGTTCATGGTTTTATGCTAGAAAAGGTCTTTTACTTTCAGACTTGTCTCTCCAGTTTGAAGGGTTTGGGCATATGAAATCTCACTAATCTCATTAACTGAATAATAGCCTAAAAAATAAGTTTTGTAATCCATATGTGTGAAAATGTTGAAGACTTGGAGGAAATCAAGGGTATTTTTTTAAAATTTCAGTGGAAAAAAAACCACGAATGTCTAAATGAAGTAATGGAACAAGTAGCATGAGAGTGAATCAGGAAACCTCTTCCAGGTTAACATGATAAAGACATTCTGTTTCTCTGGAAGGCTTCTCAAGTTCCCAAAGGAAGTGAAAAGAATAAATTGAAAATAATGATCAAGTGTTATTAATAGTATACTAAACGTGATAAAAAGAGATATAACAGCTACATCTGATTTATACCATCTGATTTATCCTGTTTCTGGTTTGACTACCTGTATAGTCTGGAGACTATAAACTCTGTAAGACTATAAACCAGATATTTAAACTGTAGAATGTAGTCTCCCATAGTAGATGGTCCATGTTAAATGGTGTGCATGATCTCTCACAATGTATGTGTCTGGGGAGGTAAGATTTTTTTACTTTTATTATTTTTTTTTTTTAACCAGTGCATTTTCTTTTCTAGACTAATAGGTCATATTTCTGTTCAATCTTTCTGGAGTGAAAAAAAAAAAAAAAAATAGTTAAAAAGTCCCACACTACAACTACAAATTGCCACTGTTACATGTTATTAAGAAATGGGTATAGAAACTTCAAGGGACAGCAGAGGAAGGGGTTATAAGCAAGAAGTGCCTGTTGCAGTGTGCTCATGGTGACAGTGGTGGGGCGAGGGGTGGATGCAGCCCACTGCCTGTGAACATGAGGAAGCAAAGCTCTGCACTGCTCTAGCTCAAACTAAACCAGAGAGACAAGGAAACTTTAAATACTGTCCTGAAAAGAATCAAGGTTAAAAGTTTTGTGATGCTAATTAGATTTAAAAGCTTAATTTCAACTCTCAAGTGTCAGTGCCAGATCTCTCAGGATACAGTAACTGCATCCTGTGTAGCAGTTGAATTGGTCTTCAGGGGTACCAAATCACTGAATCACAGCATCTTTATTGCTTCTTGGTACCAACCATGTAAGATAGACATCATTTTTGCAGAAAATTAAACAGAGGCTAACCAGACTACTTTTTTTTTTTTTTTTTTTTTTTTTAAAAAAAAAAAAAAAAACAAAAAAGTTTTTTTT